TTTTTAAGTACCTAGGCGCCCGCCTGGTTACAGGCCGGTTCAGTGTTGCACCGGTTGAGTTTCCAAATAATGGTGTATACTGTCGTCAGGTCATTTAGCCTTTTTACAAGGGGGTTATAGCTATAAAGATATTATATGGCCATTTGATGGAGTTTGAGATTTTTTACTTTTATTTTTTTTTGTTTGTTTTCAATTGAATGATGCCACTGACTAATATTTAAATTTTGAAGCGCATGATTGATTACGATTTCCTCCTAGAAGTGGTTCTTTAAGGTAGTAATGTGTTTTCTGGTTGGTGAATTGATATATTGAGGTATATTAAGGTTAATCTGAAACTATTTTTGGTGTTGGGTTTTGTATATCCACTGTATCCCAAAAGTTTTTCTACTCTCGTGGGAATGTACTATACCCTCGTGGATAGCTTTATGATCTCATATTTTCGGGATGTGATATTTAGAATCTGATAAATAATTTTAGAGAAAAAAAAATAATACATTTAGGGCGGAGAACGGGTTGGATCTGTTTTGAATCCACTGGGATTTAGATTTGGATCTGAAAAGTATACATAAAATTTGCATTGGATTTAGGCCTGATTAGATCTAGAATATTTGGATCTACATCCAGATCTGAAAATTATATAAGAGATTTGGATCTAGATCCTATTGGATATAAAAAAAATTATTTTATATATAAAATAATATATAACAAAAAATATTATATAATATATAGATAGGGAAAGTATTCAAAGGGACCATTTGCCTTTTGTATAATGAGGTTATAGTCGTTCATCCTTTTGATTTCAAATTGGGTAATTGTAGGAGGATCATTGGACATATTTAATGGTCAAAAAAGATATTTCTCAGATTTTATGACTAACTCAAAGTTATCTAATTTGACATCCAATAAGTAGACTAACCCAAAGTCATCTAATTTGACATCCAATAAGTAGAAATGATTGTGACATCTTTATACTAAAGATAAATAGTTTTATTATATATATATATATATATATGTATGTATATAATAATGAGAAAAGTTTCTATACTACAATATATAGCATTTTAATAACTAGGTCGGATCCAGATCGGAGCCACCTATTTTAGGATTCGATTTTAATTACTATTTGGATCAAATTTTTTGGATCCGATTGGATTTGGATTTGACATGTCGGCTTTAAATCTTAGATCCATATCAAATTTGGATAGGATCTAAAATTGGAGATTCGGATCCGAACTAGGTAAATGAGACTCTTTCCCTTTCTACATGGTTTAGTCGATATGAGTTTGGGGACTCGTGGAAACCTTATCCAAGGTTTACTTTTTAAACCTAGGATATAGAGTCCTTATTTCGAAGATATCAGTCTCATCAGTGATATGTGGTCACTTGAATAAATAGGTATAATTATGTATAGATAGGGATCCTTATGGTTTAAAAGTCTTGTAATTTTACATGGACGTTTATTTTTTGGAGTATATATAATATTCATCTTTAGTATAAGGTGGTTGCAATTAATTTTGATTATTGGATGAGAAATTAGATGACTTCATTTATTCTACCGATCAAGCCCAACTTTAAACGAAATTTTCTCGAATTTTATGACATACTCAAGTTATTAGATTTCACATTGGATGGTTGCAAGTAATTGTGATCTTTTTGTATCAAAAGTAATACAATCTATTATTTTTCAAATAATCTCATTGTATACATTCCCTTTATTGCGGGACTGCCACTTCAAATGCCGGACCGCAACTTTAAAACACCGGATCGCCCATTCTAGTAAAAAATAATTTCCGAACCGGTCGCCAATTCAAAATGCCAGATCGTCCTCTCCAATGAAAATAATTTGTTAGGTAAGAGAAGGGTATTTTCATCCAAAACAAATGAACTTTTGTATGGAGGTATTTGCTAGGAAAGTTAGGTGGGGTAAAGTACTTAAAAAGTTTATTTTTGGGGGGTTTTTGCAATTTTCCCTATATTTTAACTGCATGGGGTCCTAAAACACTAAAAAAAGTTAGTTCAAAAGGGTCAAAAGTTTGGATAGTTTAAATATAAAGAAATTATGAAAAATGCAATTTGATGTTGCTGTATCATAGATAATGTTTGGCAATGTAGGGCAGCCTGTTGTTATAGTTATCGAAATTGTCTTACAAATGGAGCAGTTTGAGTTTGATATATTAAATGTTGAATTGTCTTATGTCAAAAATTTAAAATAAAATTATAGAATTAAACAAAGGTAAATTCGATGATTTAAGTAATTCGTACCTAAAAATCCCTAAAGAGAAAGATTAGATGATTACTTTACCAAATGCTCTAGGGCCCTGGTGGCAAACTAGGCTCCCAACAATTTGTGTGGCAAAGATCGAAGAGGCGTGCGAGAGAGAAAGCAGGTATGCTCGGACGATGGAGCGAGCAGCAGGAATTGAAAGAAAGACCTATGTGATCTTTTATCGGGGTAATTTTTTTTTTTTTTTTTTTGCACTCCTTTATTTTGGCAAAAGATCACTTACATGTGGTCTTTATTATAATAAGATAAATTTCAAAATAAAATCAACATACCAATGAAACCAAGATCTTAACAACTTGATGTCATTGAAACAACTATACATTATGCTTGAGAATAAAAGATAAGACTGCAATAAACAAAAAGAAGAGTGTCGGAGATTATCTCAACTCGGCTTAGTACACCCCACACTAAGTCACCACCATCCGATGGCACGGGATGAACGGTCTAGCTTCAATCTCAACCGGGAAAGCAAATTTCGGCCAATCCACACCAATGGAACATGAACTCCTTTGATCACAAACTCAAACCCTAGGTGAATTCTCTTAGAAACCTAGTTTGAGAGAGGTGGATTCTCTTTTTGCTAAACCCTAAAACCCTTAGTCATAAATCCATATTTGAGAAATAGGAGAGAGAAGAACTCCATAACCTAAACCCTTAGGTTCTTTCACAATGTAGGAGAGAGATCAAACATGAGAAAGAGATAAACTTTCTTAAGAGAGAGATAGAAATATAAGATGTAGAAATTTTGGGTAGAGACAATCCCTTTTTTATAGGCTTGAACAAGATTAGGGTTTCTTAGGGTTTTCCTTGGCTTGCCTCTTCTTGTGATATTGAATGTAGACCGTAG